AAATTAAAAAAAAAAAAATCTCAGGGATCCAGGGATGTTAAAGTCAAAATAAATACGTAAATAAATAAATAAATAAATAAATAAATAAATAAATAAACAAACCTACTTTGTTGAGGGTTTTTATCACAAATGGATGTTGTACTTTGTCAAATGCTTTTATGCTTCTTTTGAAATGATCATATGGTTCTTATCCTATCTCTTACTGATATGACATATCATGTTGATTGATTTGCAAATATTGAAACACTGTTGAAACCGAGGAATAAAGCCTACTTGATCATGGTATATGATGTTTTAATGTATTGTTGGATTTGGGTTGCCATTATTTTGTTGAGAGTTCTTGCATGTATGGTCATCAGAGATACTGGCCTGTAGTTCTCTTCTCTTATGGTGTCATCTGGTTGTAGTATCAGGATAATCCTGGCCTCATAGAATGAATTGGAAGCTTTCCTTCCTTTTCTATTTTTTGGCAAAGCTTGAGAAGAATAGGTATCGACTCTTCAAATATTTGGTAGGATTCGCCTGTGAAGCCATGTGGTCCTGGACTTCTGTTTGTTCAGAGTTATTTTGATTACTGATTCAATTTCTTTGCTGGTAATCAGTCTGTTTGAACTTTCTATTTCCTCTTGTTTCAGTTTTGGTAGTTATATGTTTCTAGGAATTTATCCATTTTTTCCAAGTTATTCAACTTGTTGGTATATACTTTTTCATACTATTTACTTTATATTGTTAGTATTTCAGTGGTGTTCAGTCTCTGTGCCTGTTTCTGTGTGTTAAGGAAGTCAGCTACAGCTCCTGTTCTTGAGGATAATGGATTTATGAAGATGAGGTCTTATAGCGCCCTGCCATGTAGTGTTCCCCGTTCCCCAGGCATTGGCAGTTCCGGAAGTATAACCAATTGTGCTGCGTGCACTCTGCTGTTCTGTCGTGGCTGCTTTATCCTTCAAGCCAGTCGTCTGCAGAAGCTCTCTGTCTGTTGTGGGCAGCGTTTGGTCCCTGGCCTGAATGTGGCGTGTTTTAACTAGGTGTGTTCTGGTCTGCTTGTGAAAAGAGACCTGCTGCTGGAACTGAGGTGCTGTAAAACTCCTGGGCTGGGAGACATACTGTTAGCAGGGGTTTGGGCTGGTCTTCTGGGGGAGGGGTCCCACGCACTTTGGGACTGAAGCATCCATGATTGGGAAGGGTGGTTCTTCCAGAGCATGGGGTGGGGGTGCTTAGCATAAGTAAGTTAGGTAGGGAGAGCCAGCAGGGCACTGGTTCCTGCAGGTGGCTCTGTGTTTATGCTGAGGGGCAGGGGGAGGGAAATGGTGCTTACCAGTTCCTTTGTTCCTTGAGAGTTCTCTTTGTTAATGCTGTCTCTCTGGGAAATGCTCCAAGATAAGCAACTAACCTCCCCACTCTATGCCCCAGGCACTCTTCAGATGGCTGTTTCTATGCTGTAAATCAGTGGGCTGTTTGCCTGCCTTCTCTGCAAGAGAAGCCCCAATGTCTTCCAAGCTTTCCCAGAGCCAAGCATGCTAACCTTTAAAACTCCAGGCTTTAAGCCCTGCTGGTTAGAGAACTTTAAAAATTCAGCTTCTCTTGCTTTCCAAGCCAATTGCTATAGGGATTCATTTCCCCATGTGCTCCTGAGTGTTAGTCTATCTCTCAACCTTCCCTGCACCTCCCACCACAGTGGCCACGATCCATTTCTCTCCCAAGCTACATCTCTGCACTTTCTACCTTCTTCGAAGTGGCCTCTTTTCTACCTTTAGTTGTGGAGTTTTTTCTGCCAATCTTCAGATCAGTTTCTGAGGTATTTAGGATGATTTGATATCTAATTTTATTTGTGAGACAAGGTCAGCCTCGGCTCCTCCTACTCTGCTGCCATCTTCCCCTCCAAAAATATATTCTTATTATAAGACTAATATATACTATAATATATATTCTTCAATATGCATATAAATTTTAAAATCTTATAATAAATAAAAATTATATATTCATAGAGAAGATAAGTACTAATTTTGAGGAATTCGTTCCTGTGATTGTGGAGGCTGAAAAGTCCCATAATTTTCCTTCTATCAACTGGAGATCCAAGAAAGCTGGTGGTATAAATTAGTCCAAATCTGAAAGCCTGAGAACCAGGGGAGCTGATGGTATAAATCCCAGTCAAGGCCAGAGGTAAAATATTCCAGCTCAACAGTGAGGTAAGAAAAAAGGGGTTGACTCTTCCATCATTCACCTTTTGTTCTATTCAGGCCCTCAAAGGATGGTATGATGTCTACCTGTATTGGACTAGGCAATCTACTTCACTGAGTCCACCAAATCAAATGCTAATCTCATCTAAAACCACCCTCCAAGACAAACCAAGAAATAATGCTTGATCTTGGCACCCTGTGGCCAGTTGATACATAAAATGTCAGAGTGTATTATTACAATTAGATTTGATATGGTTAAAGAAAAAAACAAAAAAACCCTAAACTATCAATGCATTTCACATAATAAAAATTATTTAATTATGCAAAGTTTGGTGGAAGTCCAGCAATTTCCTAAGGCAGTTGTTATCGATACGGTAACTAGGTATTCTATGTTAAGTTTACCTGTCTGTCTATGTTTGCCTTATCTCTATAATCTCAATGTGTGGCCTCTATCATCACTGCTTTCACATCTACTCTTCCATGATGTAGTCTGGAATTGACACGTTTCTTTCAGTAGCAGGTCATTGGCCAGAATGAATTACATAGTCCCACCTAAGAACAAGGGAGTTGGTATATGAAGAATACACAGAATAATTGTTGAGCCTTATTGTGTCTGTCCAGGGGGCAAGGACAAAAGTAGAATGGCCATGAGATTATTGCAATTTCAGAAAGTTCATGGTGGCTTTGACAAGGTGGTAACAGTGGGGATGGAGAAAAATGGTCCAATTTTTGAGATATTTTCAAAGCAAAATGAGAATTTGCTGAATGGAAAGTCATGGGATATAAAAGATAAAGAGAAATCAAAAGTAACTGAGATAGAAAAAACTTGAGATTTAAAAAATATCAAGAGCTCAGTTTTAAACATGCTATGATTGAGATGATTATTATACAACATGGAGGAGGTGTTAAGGTAAGCACTTAGATTTATGGTTTTGAAGTATACAGGGAAGAGGTAAAGGCTGGAGATATAAATTACAAGTCATCAATATATGGATGATTTTTAAAGCCATGAAACTTGTTGAGATTATCTGTAGGATGAGTAGAGTGAGAATAAAAGATTGAACCGTGAGAAATTCCTACATTTAGAGGTCAAGATGAGGAGGAACCAGCAAAAGAAACAAAGAGAGTGACCAGAATGATGGAGGGAAAACATGGAAAGTGTGGTACACAGCAAGTCAAATAAAGGGAGCTTAGTTTTGGGGTTGTGTTTTGTTTTGGTTGTTTTTATAGCAGAGAGTAAACAACTGTGTTTAGTGATATTGATAGATCAAATAGGATAAGATCTGAGAACCATTGGATTTAGCAATGTCGAGGTCATTAGTGACCTTGAGAAGGGCAATTTCAGTAGAATAGTGGGGTTGTTAACTTGATTGGAATAAACTGTTAAAGAACAAAAATTCAGGGGTGCCTGGGTGGCTCAGTCAGTTGAGCGTCTGCCTTCGGCTCAGCTCATGATCCTGGGGTCCTGGGATCGAGCCCCGCATCGGGCTCCCCGCTCTGCGGGAGGCCTGCTTCTCCCTCTCCCACTCCCCCTGCTTGTGTTCCCTCTCTTGCTGTGTCTCCCTCTGTCAAATAAATAAATAAACTCTTTAAAAAAAAAAGAACAAAAATTCAATGGAGTAAATTTGAAGATCTAATTGGCTTTATGAAGTGACTCCTGAATCAGGTGGCACCCCAGCCTGCAAGGAGGTTTTTATGGGTACGAGGGTGGAGCAAGAGGTTATTAGCAAAAGAAAAGAAAGGATTTTTCCAGGCAAGGTTACCTTCCCTTAGGGGATCTTAGACAGATTACCTCATCTTCCCTTGGGGGAGAGAGAAGGCCCATGTGACAGGCTACCTAACTGGTGCTTAACAGAAAATTCCTGACTGGTTAAGACTACATTTCTGGGGCAGGTTAAAACTGCAAATGGCTCATTTGGTTAAGTGTCTGACTTTTGTTCAAGTCATGATCTTAGGGTCCTGGGATTGAGCCTTGTATCTAGCTCCATGCTCAGGGTGGAGTGTGCTTGTCCATCTGCCCCTCCCCACTATTGTGCTCTCATGCTCTTTTTCTCTCTCTCTCTCAAATAAATAAATAAAATCTTTTTAAAAAATGCAAGTAGATTATACATTAAGCTCCGGTTTGGTGACTTGACCTAAGTGAAGCCATTTTGGGCCTATGGTTTTCTTTTAACAATTCCCCCCTTTTGCTCAGACTCTCAGCTTAACTGAGAGAGATGTGATCAGAATTTAAGGCATCAGCACCACTCGCAGCTATTGCTCTAAAATTCTTGCAGTTTGTGTTTTTGTGTGGTATCTATAAGTCATGCTTAATCTCTGTGATATTCACAGGTCATGGCTTCAGGTTCACATTCTTTAAGTCAGTCATTTTCTTGGCTTCTCCTATGAGGTTCCAGTACAGGGCGATCATCTGCTTGGTAGTTAGCAGCTGCACATATGCATTTTCAGTTTTTGAGAGGCTACAATGTGCCAGGGAGATTATAAATAATAATTCCTAATGTTCATAGTACACTTCAAAGCCACAGTCCCCAAGACATAAATATAATTCATAAATTCATAAATATAAATCAATATTAAGTAAAAGAAAGACTCCCCTAAAGTGACATTTTTTTTTTTAAGATTTTATTTATTTATTTGAGACAGAGAGAGAGAGCAGGGGAAGGAGCAGAGGGAGAGGGACAAGCAGACTCCACAATGAGCACAGAGCCTGATGCGGAGCGCATTCTCCTGACCCTGAGATCATGACCTGAGCTGAAACCAAGAATCAGATGCTCAACCAAGTGAGCCACCCAGGCACCCCACCTAAAGTGAACTTTTTAAGCCAAGTGGCTCCCCCCTCGATTTTATGTAATTGAGTTTTAATTGCCCCAGAAGTGTTAATCCAGGTAAAGCAAATGGTGTTGGCCACAACACAGACACCTCCTTGCTCAGATAAAAGATGATTAAGGGCTATTCTATTATCAAGAACTTTGGCCATAGAGTCTAAGAATCTTTGTAGGGCCACTATTACTTCAGCAGCAGATTCTTCAATAATTAAGAATTAAGGAGAAGTTCTTGGTCATAGGCTCATTTACATTTATCCCTAACCAGGGAAATAGGGACCTCCTATAAGGAGTGAATCCTAAATTATGAAAGCCTCCTTGGTAGGTCCTTTCTAACTCAACAATGTAAATTCGGGGGAGTCAACCAAAGAGATCTCTTATTTTGCTTGTGAAAAATTAGGGGCACAGTTAGATTTTCTTCTAACCTGAAATAAATTCTAGATTACCCCCTCTTAGCAATGGCCTGAGAGATACAGAGGAAGGCATTATCTTTCTAGGCAATGCCAAAGTAAAGGAAGAGAAAAGAAGGGGAAAGGGTTTCATATTTAGTTAAAATATGAAGTTGATCCACTGTCGTGGGCTGAATCAGTTACTTCAATGTCAGCTACTCCTCTTCCTTGTCAATTTGATTCAGAGATCTCCAGCGTCTTCTAGTTTTGCAACAGTGTCAGCAGTCAGGAAAACTTGGTAAAGTCCCTTCCAACTGAGCTCAAGGAGTGTCTTCCTCTGATGATGTTTCCAGAATACCTCGTCACCAGGCTTTAGACTGTGACCAACAGGATCCTTTAAATTGGGATCCACAAAGGCTTCTATAACCTGTTGACAGGCTTGAGCATAAGATATGAGAGACTTACAGTAGTCAGTCATACCAGTATGAGACAACAAGGGATCAGCAGAAGATTGTACACCAATATACAATGGTCTGCTTATGACTATCTCACATGGTGTGAGGTTATACTTCCCAAAGGGGTAACTTCTAGCAGTCAGTAAGACCAAGGGCAATATCTTAGAACAGCGAAGTCCAATAGTTTTGGCAAGTTTAGAAATGCTCAGTTTGAGGATCCCATTAGTTCTCTCAACCTTGTCTGATGATTGAAGTGATGGGGAGAGTGATAATTCCAAAAAGTTTTCAAGGTTTTCATTAAGGCTTATAAGATTTTCCCAGGGAAGCAGAGGTATCTTGATCACTGGAGATCATGGACGGTATACCAAGTAGAAAACACATTTTCTAACAGTTTTTTGCCACTATGAGGACATCAGTCTTGCAGTTAAGGGAAAGCTTCAATCCATGCGAAAAACACACATATAAGAATAAGAACATAGTGGTAACCCATACTAAGTGACAGTTGAATGAAGTCCAACTGCAGGTGTTCAAAGGGTCCAGAGGGAGGTGTGAAGCCTCTTGAAAAACAAAACAAAATAGTTTCTCCAGGATTATGAACATGACAAGTCAGATATTATTGGCAGACTATTTTTGCAATTTTATAAAAATTTTCCCCATCAACGTCAATTAATAATTTGAGTCATCTTGAATGCACCAGAGTGGGTGAAGGAATGTAAACACCAAAAAAGTGAGGCTTGCCAGGGAGCCAGAAAGAACTGTGCAGCCATCTTGGGTTGCCCATAGCCCTAACTGTTCATTTAATTTACAATTATTGTTTCTTTGATTTAGAAGCAGGCTGTTGCCATGTGGCAAGGACATGAGGATGGCAAAAGTCTGGCACCAAAGGGTCATTTTCTGCAGAAGCAGAATAGCCTTCATTCACATGTGACACAATCTTTACAGGTTCTGTTTCTGCTGCCTTTGCATGAAAGTCAGCTAAAGCATCTCCTTGATACTCAGGCTTAGTCCTTTTAGTACAAGCCTCAATTTTGATGAGAGCCCCTTCAGAAGGTAAAAGAATAATATAAAGTGATAAAGTTATATCAGGACACATATGTCTAGGAATTTCACATGATTTCTAGAACTCTTATATACCTATACAAATACAATATAAGGAAGGCATCATATTAGATATTATTTGACAATGCTTTCCATATAATTTAACATATCAAATAAGCCTAATTAGGTTAACAAATCCTTTGAAATGTTAAGGGAAACTTCTGGAAAAATTCTAGTTTCTTTTAGGACAAAAGACTTCATTTAGAATTTGATTTGGGGAAGTTTGTTAAAATCGCACACAGACAAAAAATTTTAAAGTGCTTGCTTGGGTGGCTCAGTTGGTTGAGCATCTGCCTTCAGCTCAGGTCATGATCCCAGGGTCTTGGGATCAAGTCCAGCATCAGGCTCCTTGCTCAGCCAGTAGCCTGCTTCTTCCTCTGCCTGCCCCTCCCCCTGCTTGTGAGCTCTCTCTCTGACAAATAAATAAATAAAATCTTACAAAAAAAATAAAGTGCTTGCCTGAATAGTATCACAGATTATTATGAAACTTAGTAATTATCTATTAGCAAAATTTAGCTCCTTTAATATTAAGAAGACTCAGTTTTCCTAGGTAATCAAAGACCTAATAAAAACAGCAGACACAGGAAATTATTTTTATAAAACACAAAATCACTGTTTCTAGGCAGAGCAGTTAAAAGGTATAGAAACCTTCATAATCTGTTATCAAAAGCAGACCAAAAGTCCAACAGCTTTAGAATGGGACTCAATCCCAGGACCCTGAGTTCTTGACCTGAGCCAAAATCAAAAGCCAGGCACTTAACTGACTGAGCCACCCAGGGGCCCCTGTTTTTCCTCTTTAGACAACCAGCCTCATTTTAGGACAAAATTACTTTCTTTTCCTTCAACAAAAAATGCATCTCAATTTCTCATATCTTCTCTTATCAAAAACACATCTTACTTCTTGGTATAAGAAGATGTTTCCCTTATTATTTCTAGTAGCTTTAATCACATACGTTAATTAGAATTCTTAAACCCTTAGAAACCTTAATATCTAGTAAGAACTACATGTAAGCAATTGTGAACCGTTATACCAGTGAGTAAGGGACAGGTGGGGCTAGGTAGGGAGAGACAAGTAGGGGGCTATGTGATCAAGCTCACAAAAATCCCAGAAACGCTGAGGTGTAAGGAAACCAGAGATAAGGGAACATAACCAGACCACCTCATTTGTCTTAAACATCACTGATGAGATATTCAAAGGAGAAGTAATCATGGTGCTATCAGAGGTGACATCAAGAAGATTTAGGTTCCCTCATCAGTTTTGAATAAAAGACTGACCATAAAAGCCTCACTGGCAACCCATTCAACCCCTCTCACTCTAGAGGGCTTTCTTTGGGTTCTCACCTTAACTTTATAAACCCCTCTCACTCTAGAGGGCTTTCTTTGGGTTCTTACCTTAACTTAATAAACTATCACTTCACCCTTTTGTGTCCACGAGATTCATTCTTCGCCTCCGTGAGACAAGAAAACTGCAACCTTGTAACACCAGCATTCTTTAGGTTGGCAAATTTACAAATACATTTCATAATTTCTAGAAGCATGTGCCTTTTCCAATGTGGCACTAACACATCCAAATATCTTTTAGTTTCTCTGTAATATGAAGCCAAAAATAGATAAACCTATTCTCAGTAATTAATGTTTCATTATTATCTTATTAGGAAATGATGCAGATACTCAATGAATTTAACTTAACTCATCACTTAGCAAAACTTTAAGGTGTCAAGTTACCAAGATTTGGGGAAACTATTTAAAAAACTTACCTAAAATTATATCTATTCAACCTACTTGTTCTTAACAATTATGTTTAGATTATGCACAAAAACTTTATGAGACACCAAAGTCAACCATAATTCTAAATTAGTTTTGCTGACAAATTGCAAATAATATTACATGAATTTAATAAGTAAATAAATTTAAGTATTAGAATAAAGGTTATTTACCAGAATTATATTCAATGTTGATAACTCGAAAGACATGCCTGTTTTAATTAAACCAATGAACTCATTAAACTAACTTTAATTTACTGAAGATTATCCCAGATCACAAGAACTTGAAAAACATTGGGTTAGTTTCTATTATATTTCTGAGAATTTTTATGAATACTAATTTATGTAAAGTGCTTGTTTAAGCCAATTAAGCAGAGCTTTTACAAATTAATTTTGGCAATACCATCTGGAGGTAGAAAATACCACACATCTACAACATACATATAGATACACACGAACTGTGTGTTCAGATGCAACAGAGACCTTATAGCTTCTGTTTTAAAATTATTGCCATGAAATTGGTGCAAAATTCACTAGTTATAAAAGATAGATCTAGGTTTGTTTTTGTGGTAAATGGAACAAGCTAAAGTTACCTGTCTAGATGGCTAAAATTCACTAGTTATAAAAGATAGATCTAGGTTTGTTTTTCTGGTGAATGGAACAAGCTAAAGTTACCTGTCTAGATGGCTAAAGCTTTTTGTAATATTTGTGGAGAAGACACTTAAGATTTGTTATTTATCCGTAACAAATCAAGTTCTAAATAATCTTTCTGCTTTTGTTTTTTTCTTGATAAGAATTACCTCCCCAAAATTTGCTTTCTAAAAAGATGGCCCAGGGGCACCTGGGTGTCTCAGTCGGATAAGCATCTGCCTTCAGCTCACATCATGATCCCAGGGTCCTGGGATCGAGCCCCACATTGGGCTCCTTGCTTAGTGGGGAGCCTGCTTCTCCCCCTCCCACTGCTGCTCCCCTGCTTGTGCTCTCTCTCTCTCTGTCAAATAAATAAATAAAAATCTTAAAAAAAAAAAGATGGTCTAGATAAAAGTTCCGGGGAAGACCCTAGGTACAACATTTATAATTCAAAGGAAAAAATAAAGCGGGATGTTCCTAGGATGTTTGTTCCCTTGAGGCCAGAGTTTTTACAAGTTTTACTTACAAGCCTTTTGAGATAAATAAGGGAGGTTTGGGAATAGGTAAAAAGGATCAGTGGATTCTGAATTGTTTCTGTAACCACACCGTTGGTCCTGTAAATACTAGGTTTATAAAATAAGGACAACTGCTTTAAATTCCTCAATTAGGTTAGTTGCTGTCAATGATGTCAAAAGACTGATGCACCCATCCACTTATATTAGAATTTCTTGGGGCTCCTGGGTGGCTCAGTTGGTTAAGCGACTGCCTTCGGCTCGGGTCATGATCCTGGAGTCCCGGGATCGAGTCCCACATCAGGCTCCCTGC